AAACTTAGCAAAGCGCCTCAAGTTCAACAATTTGGCATGCACGCGTAAAAACGCACTAGTCTTGTTATTTGCGTTATCTTTTGATCAAATGATAGTCTATTCTTGCCGCGGTAGAACGCATAGCCTAGCTAGCATCAATCAGTACTTAATTGTAGTTGTTAGCAGTCGGATGTGAGCAGATGACGTAAACGCCGTTTGTCGGGCACGAGCGGTCGCCGTTAGCGAATTCTAGTAATACTTATATCTTGGTTATATCTAATAATAATATAGCGTTCTGCACTTAGTTGGCTAAATAGCGAACGGTCCCGCGTTAGAAGCGGGAGCTATAACTAGGGCATTGATGGAATGCATCCTGACACTATATCAGGCCGCTGATCACTCAGCTGTACAGTGCACATGCAGGCGCTTGAATCGTTTCAATAAAATATATACGCAGGGGTCGTGTGCTGTGCACGATAGCGGCTATATACTTAACTGTCGCCGTGCACAGCACACGACCCCTGCGTATATATTTTATTGAAACGCTTCAAGTGCCTGTGGTACAGTGGGGGTGATGGACACCCATGCGTTACTGCTACCAACGAAATTTCCCCTCGGCTCACAGTAAGACTGTTTGAATGTCCTTGGTAATATATAATCCATTACAATCATCGCTGCAGATGGGGAATGCGTCAATACCATACAACATTGGCAGCATGTGTCATGTACCACTAACCGCAGCGAAACGATAACGTATAATACATGTCTAACCCTGAGAGAGCAGCATATAGGCCTTCCCTGTCAGATCCCTTACCTGCCAGACCGTCCATGCTTCGTCGGGGGTACGTTAATTATGGTATCTACACAAACCCATAGAACACATCGACTCTATTTCTACATGCACTGCTGTCGACATGTGTGATGTTACTTACGAACGTATGTATCCGGGTGCTCTCTGCTCTCGCCTGCCTTCCTGCCTGCTCTAGCTGCTACTAACTGTGCTGCGTCGACTGCCTCGGCTCGGATACGGCTCTTCGATCGACCTCCCTCACGCCCCGTGTGCGAGCTGTTTGTTGATATGGGCAAGGTACATGGAGCAGCACTTGTGCACTGTGTTGTTACGTGCCACGGTGCCAGGTTTCGCGCTCCGCACTTCTAACGATATTGATCTTGATGCACGTAAACATTTTGAATAAACCGGTGTGGTGGGATGGGTGTGTCCGTGCGTGTGTGTGGGTGCTTGCGCACCTGTGCGTGCGTGCGTGCGTGCGTGTGTGAGTCGGGGTGGGGGGGGGGGGGTCGTGCTACTTGACAAGTCGACCGCTGCACCAGATACCTCATAAGAGCACTTAAGCTCATAAGAGCATTATACCATATAAGAGCACTTATAAATCTTTAATCGTTGATTTACATGCTCTGGCTGCACCACGACCACCGCCGCGTATATATACTTTCCATGATAACCCCATAATCTCATAAATGTTAGTCTTCAAAAGTAGTGGGGACTATAGCGAAGACGGAGGTCATGATGCCATGAGCTGCGATCGAGAAAACAGCGGCAAACCACGTACACACAAGGTGTCGCAGTTTCGGTTGATATAACAGGTGCGGTTGTGGGATTATAGTTTCTAAATTCTAGAATATATGCCAGGGTGCGAAATTAACGGAGTCCCGAGTCAAATACTCCCTGACTTACTGCCGGACTCCCTGATTTGACATATACAGGAGTCCGTGTGACTCCCTGAAAATTATGCGATACTAACTATAGTTCGTTCCGGAGCACGGCCTCGCAGAATTACTGTATTTTTTCAGCTAATGTCCAAAGAAAATTTGACATACGTGCAACGTAGCACATGCGTTAACTTATTTTTAATATTTTTAATTTTGAACCTCAGACTGCGGACTCCCTCATTTTGCTGCGGACTCCCTCTTTTTGAGGGTAGGTAGTTCGTTGGACTCCCTTGTTCAAAAGTTACCACTGTATACTATTGATTCATGACGGGAGGCCCTATATTATCTCAAACGTTATCGCTGTGTGTTTCTGTGCGGTCTTATCCTGATAGCGAAGCACGTGCATGCGTGATAGCGGTGTGCGTGCGCGAATGTCTCCCTGGAATGCAGAACCCCACTCCGACTGCAAGCCTTATTATACCATTCTTGGTGTCGGTAGTTAAGTTGGATTCCCAGTAGAGTCTTACGTACTCTTAGGCTAAAAATATTTTCACAACATCTGACTTTCCGATAATATAAATGCTATGAAGGAAAATGGCAAGGTTACTAAAATAACGCAACTTGCAATAATAGTTATATTAATAAGTAGAGGATATGTAGTGTAAACGCGGCTTACGTTCAGGAATACATCGCTAGCCAGGATTAATTGTTACGTAACAAAGCTCATTTTATTTATTTAATAAATTCTTGAAATTTATACACGGAATAAACGTGGTTAATTATTTCGTTTTATTTTCTGAGCCACCCTCAGTGCGTATTCAAGCAGGTTCACATTTCTTCGTCTGTGTGGACACGTCTGTAGTCACGTCCTTTCCATCTTCTACGTACTAAAGCGCATTTCCTAGCAATTGAAAATATCAAGAGCTCAATTAGCAAAGTAATAAATAGAAACGAAATTAAGTAGTTTATATTTTATCACGCGATTCTTCGACAGTAATGACGTGTACCGATGGTGGCATCGAATGAATCTTATATGGATGTGAGCTTCAGTTCTATTCACTTTAGTAGTTAGCTGTTGACGTTCAATAAACGTTACTGTGAGCAAAGGTAGGGTTTGTGAGAGAATGTGTTCTCACTGACCTTCCGTTGAGAAGAGCGACGCGATCGTTGGTATCCAACTTCTTTGCATAACTTCTTCGTGGCCTGGTGTGACGTTGTAACCTTCAGTTGGTTCTCTCAAGTCAGTGCGTTTTCGCGTGGGTTTTACTGTGATGGAGAGAGCGTAAGTATGCATGAGTTCACAGTCGATTAGTTCAAGTTTTTATACTCACTTGCACTCGGCAATATTACCGATTTCACAAGGGGTTGTAGCCGCTCGTCTAGACATTTACAAGATACTGAATCACTCGTTTGAACTACTAGGGAACCACTTACACTTGTAGGAACGTTGTGCAGGAGATGAGTACACGCTATCGGCAGCGCTACGAGCGTCTAAAATCATGCTGACATCAGGAAAGGTGCCCCGACTTCAGGAATCCTCGAGGCTTTGCTAGCTGGAAGTAAACATAAATATATGCGAGTAGTGTGCATGTGTGCGTATGCGCGTGCGTTCTCGCGTGCGCGCCTACGTGCGTTGGTGTGCGTTCGTGCGCGCCAGTCCGTGTGCGTGTGTGCGGCGATAGTTTCACCTTGCCGTTTTATCTCTCTAATAAGGGCGGCACACAAGAAATACGATTAAGCATACACGTACGTAAGTTGATAGCATGGTCACTGCTGCCAATCTATGTAAGCTCCACGAGATCGCCAGTAACTAGAAGAATAATTAGCTGAAAATGTATGCAAACAATCGAGGGGAATCAAGCTTGATCACCCACGCATACGCATACAAACATGCGCACAGTCACACGAGCGCGTGCATGCACTCACTTTCATATTTATAATTACCAAGTCGCGAGGATTTGCGGCAAATATCTTTCCAGTCGGGTCAGCTTCTTGGATATCGGCTTGATTTTCAGACGCTCGTACCGCTGCTGATAGCGCATACTCGCTCCTTTCCCCCTACGTCACCATCGTATTCTTGCATCTGTTTGAACACCTGCGCGAAAATAAACATAATTACTAGGATCTCATAGCGTGATAGCTCCAAGAAACGGTATTGCTAGGGTTAGAATACCTATGACGTATGGTGTATTGACGTTAGTCACACAGCCTGGTCGGGTTAATAGCGTGAATGTAAATTAGCAATTTGCGTGACAGTAAAAGTAGCCTAATACTAATACTAGTAATAGCAAGAGCTAATAATACCTAGGTATAGGTATACCTAGGTATTATTAGCTCTTGGTAATAGTAATAGATCTAGTGAGAACAAAGTCCATTGCCGAAATTGTATTTTGAAATATTCAATGATTATGAAATTCAAATAAACAACTCGACAAGTGTGTATAGTTTATATACTCACGCGGCCCACGATGTCTTCATGACGCTTCCTCGAGATGTCCTTAGTTTGTTCATTGTTCTGCTGCTAGTTATATTTATTAATTTAATGAAAAAATGCTTTCAACGTTCAAACAAATGCAAGCTGGACTGGACTGAATGCTCTGACTGAATCGAACATTCTTTTTTTGTTCTATTATTGGTGTGCCGCTGCTGCATA